TAAAAAGAAGACGAATGGACAAGGGCAATACTTTTACTTTTAGGAAAAGAAATTACAAGGTGACGAGAAAGTACCAATCGAAAGCCAAGAGAAGACATCTACAGTGAGCCTTTTCAAATCAAGTAAAACATCACATTTGGGTGTTGGCACAGCATAAAGACAATAAAGAACGATAGAAATGGTAGTGGATATGTCAAGTTAACTATTACTAGACGTGGCCAATGAAAGGCTCAGTGCACATGAAACACAGCGATAAGGGAATCTGCAGCGTCAGGTTAGGTTGCCATTACAAATGAGAATTCAGACTTTAGGGGCTTGGTCAGTAAGGCTGGTGTATACATGCTATCAAAGACAGTGTAGAACAACGCCTTGAGTAGCACGGATACGGTGGCAGCGATGTGGTAAAATCAGTGAAACAGGCAGATAAGGAAAGGAGGGGACTCTGATATGACCCAAAGATAGATGATTGCGGATTAAACCGCAGCCTTGGATCAACACTTCCGGCAGAATGAGAGGGATGAACATTTCAAATAGGTATCGATAAACAAGTAAGAAATTGTGATATTGAAGGGGTGATACGAGGATATAGGATAGGTGAATAGCCCAGGACAGGAGAGATATCACGACTGTTTAGCACACATTTGGTCAAAGGATCGACTTCACGTGTCTCTTTGACGAGTTGTAATGTGGTACGCAGAGTGACAATGCTCACTGACGATGCCGGCGAAACGTCTGGGAATTTACAAAGTCTACTGTTCGATTCTGGAAATTATCATCCATACTATGGACTCTGGACAAAATGCGTTCTTCTAGATCTTCCCGCCAATATGACCAAGTTGCGAAAACAAGGTCAAACAATTTTTATACAACGCAAGTAGGCTGCGACCATACAAAAGGCCACACTATCCTGATCTTCATATCTTCGACAAAATAACATAAGTTGAGAACAAGATAAACCAGACTCGCCTACCAGCTTTGGCTAGACCCATCACAAAGGATTTTGACCAAGATCTATGTCGTCGTTTGGTTACATTCCCAGTCATATTGTTAATATTTGTAGAGACCGCGGCTCGCTTGTCCTGATCAGTTTCGTCGGACCACCAATTGCCAGGCCACCACCACCACCACCAGACAGTCGGAATGGCCTTCAAAATATGTCGCAATTCTTCTTCCAAACCTCCAGTACTACAGATATCATCCACTCCCAGCTGAGGTGATGCCAACACACGAGCAGATCGAAGGCATTGGAGTAGATTCTGTTGTGATTGAACTTGCTTTGGAGACGGAGACTGTCCAGTTGTAAGGGGAGCCACGGAAGCCCCCAGTTCAATGATAGTGGCAGCACTTTGTGGCAGCTGCGCAGAGACAGCCTCCTGGGCCCTGGAAACTAGATGATCTCGGATACTGTTTAACTGCTTAGCAGACATCGGTTCGAAAGTTATCCATCCAGGCCGACGCAATGTCAAAGGCCCAGTAGGCAGTGCACTCGAGAGTCCTGGAAGTAGTTGGTCAGAGTTGGGAACGGCTGAATTAGACTCAAACTCTCCGATAGCAGCACGAGATAGTACCACCAAAGGATCTGCCTCAGCTGAATGGTGCCTGGATATGCGCCCCAGGCAATTTTGACGAGGCAAACTGGAACCAGGGCAGAGAGGCAATGGTGGGGGCATTGGAATTGGCTCTTGAACCATTATTCGCCGGAAGCCAGGCATTGTTGAGACGAGCTGAAGAGATCAACGTGTTCACATAAGACAAATTAAAGAAATCATCAAGACAAGGCATATAGAGGGTAATATGTATTAGTACGAGAACAAAAAGATTTGGAATGTCCATATAAGTTAAAGAAGCTCTCTTTATTTTGTAGATATGAGGGCCAAGATGTTGTAGCCCCTGTTTTTCAGGCATACTATGGACTCCAGTCAAGGTTCGTTCCTCTAGGTCTTCCTGCCAATATGATCAAGATGTGGAAAGGGGCTCAAAGAGTTCCCTATTAAGTAACCAAAATGGGGAAATGTACGTTAAATAGCAGAAAAAAGGACCTTCGGCCTCATAAAAAAATTTAAAATAAAGGAAGCCAAAGGATAGTGCCCACTGGCTCATCAAATGTAAAATCTTAGGCATCATTAATTTTGATTACCTTCTCGCCAAGTCTCCGTCTGATTAAGTAACGCTAGTGTATCAAGAATAAGAGGATTGATCTCAAGGGAAATCAAAAATCGTTTGAATAATAGAAAATATGGAGTAAGAAGAATGATTTTGCAAGGAATGTTAGTAAGGACATCGTTTTCGCAACGCGGTAGGGACAACAGAGATACCTTGTAGAACGCATCTTGTCCTGCGTCTTCTAGGATAGTATTTATAATGATTTCCAGCATCGAATCGTTGAATTTGTACACTCCTAGAAGTTGCGCCAGCATCAGTCGGCATCGCCATTCTTAGCAGTTACAACTTAGCAAATTAATAAGTGAAGGTAATGTTGGAGTACCTTTTATTTCGGCAGAAAACGCGAGTGAAAGTAATTCGTAAGTTCGTCTAGCCGGAAATAAAACGGTTTTTTTATCTATGCAAATAGGTCATAAACTCACCGTCCCCGATGAATTCTTGCTGATCTTTCGTCCGTGATGTGACGGGCATCGTCAGAGGACACCATGCTTTACGATAAATTGCCACCCGCCTCTTCAAGCGAAATAAAAGAAACTCGCGTCAATCCATTAAGGGATTCTTCTTAAATAAGCGAAAGCAATTCCCTTGACCAATTTAATGTACAACGGTTGTGGCAGCACTCCTCGCCCCTATTTTTTCCTCTCTTATCCTCTGAAGTTGTATCTCTTTGGTAACACCGATTCATATGGTCTAATTACCTATTCACGCCACTATCCAAGTTTCCACAAATGTCACCACAAGTGGATTAAGTAAAGTATAATCACTTTCAGCACTGCTTCCAGATATCGTTCGCACGGCTTCTGACTTTAATTTGGCCCCTATTCACCCACTTATTAGTAGTTCCTTGCTACACATAAAACAGACTGGATGTATGAAATCTGACTGCATATATGCTTTCGAATACTGTCTTCGGCTACGCCATATTCAAGGATTTTAAACAGGTGATCCTTATGCCTAGACATCCTCTCCCCGGGATCCGGATACAAATAAGCTATCCTCATCCATTCGCTCATTTTTTTGTCGCCCTATGTCCGGCTTAGCGAAACGTCTAGGAATGTACTAAGTCCGATGCTGTAAATTATCATAAATACTATGGCAGAGCACGGAAGGGTAGGTACTTTCTACAATGTCTCCCTGTCGCTCCGACCAAGTCAAGCCAAAACTAAGTACCAAACAAAATGCCACACTACCTCGGCTTCATATATATATCTGTAGTGAAGTAGTTTGACCTTGTTTTCGCAACTTGGTCATATTGGTAGGAATAATTATGGGAACGCACCTTGTCCTGAGCATACAATGGACTCAGGACAAGGTGTCTTTCTTTAAGTCTTCCTACCAATATGACGAAGTTGCGAAAACAAGGTCAAACAACTTCTATACAACGGAAGGAGACTGCGGCCACAAAAAAGGCCACACCATCTTGGTCTTCATACTTTCAATATATCTGTAGTGTTTATAAATCAGGAATTCAAATAAATATTATGATAAATATAGGCCGAAAAATATTAGATAAAGATTTAAATATAAATATGAATATATAAATCAGAGAAAACAAATAAATATGGAGACAGAAGTTTAAGCAAATACCTCAAACCCAAAATGTGAACGTGGAAAATTACAGCGTATTTACCTAACGTTAACGCGAGATTCTTAAAAGAATAAATTCCAATTCTGATGATATTCATCATATAATGGACGAAAGCTCAGGCCGTTTTCACACGAAACGCGGGAAGAGTTACAGTGGACTGTGTCAACCTGAAGGTCGTACTAAAGCTAAATGGCTGCAGCAAAACGGTAATCAGTCGTCATCTTCTGGTGAGATCGACCTTCGAATCTCTTCTTCATGCACATTCACACGAAATTAAAATCTCCCCAACAATATCAGTCTTTCCTCACCCTAAGCGACAGGGTGAATACAGCTATAATTCAGGAAATTATAATAGCTTCGAAACACAAATGATTTAAAAAGTCGTTAAAACTATCAAGAAGACCTACCGATAGAAGGTCCTTGCGAAAAACGCTAAAAGGAACATGCGGGATGAAAAGGGCACTGAAATGATGCAGCACTGGAAGTGGAGCCTTGTAAGAGTTAGCCCCGCTGTTTGTTAATGACGCGTCACTCAAATGACTCGATGTTGGATCAGCTTGTCCCTCATAATCATGGCCACGAGACGTACATTCTGAAGTATTTCTCTCGGACTGCTTGGCATTCATTTTATCAATGCTTTTACCTTCAACATTTTCATTGTCACTGCTTGAATGGCTACTTGTAC